ATATATATATATATATATATACACATAGAGAGAGAGAGAGAGATTTTTTGGGGGGGTGGTGCTTAAACTCTGGGCCTCGGGGCTGTCCCTGAGCTCTTCAGCTCAAGACTAGCACTCTACCACTTGAGCCACAGTGCCACTTCTGGCTTTTTTGGTAGTTAAGTGGAGATACGAGTCTCATGGACTTTCCAGCCTGAGCTGAGATCCTCAGATCTCAGCTTCCTGAGTAGCTAGGATTATAGGGGTGAGCCACTGGTACTGGGCATTGTAAATGTTTTAAGTGTTATCTTCTACCTTCCAGGGTCCCTTTAACAGTACCTGACTAGAGCAAAGAACTAGGGACACCTGTGCATCCTTCTCCCTTGCCATGGCTACCTTATCTAACCTCAATCCTAAAGTTCTATTTGCATTTTCTTGCAGGCATCAATCAGCCTCTCCTTAATGCTCACCTTTCCTGACCCAGCCAAGAATCAGACTATTTTGATTATTCTGCAGTCTTCCTACTGAATCCAGGGGGAACCACCTCAAACTTGAATCAATGTCTCTATGCAACCAAGCACTGCTAAAATAAAATAAGCCAACAGTGCAGATGAAGAGCCAAAATGCACCAGGGTTTGTTCCTGTTTATGGAGCCTGTCTTCTGTCTCCAGCATCCCCTAGGATCTACTTAAGGCCATGGGACTACTATTCTCAGCAGACATTCTACAACAGTCTCATACAGAAAGTCCTTCAATCCAACCTCTCCCTTCGGCCCCCACAAACATGTTTTCAATCTCATCACTCTTAGCTCCTTTTTCCAGGCTATAGTCTCTGAGGCATGCAGTTCTCCCTTTAGCCACTGTTGCTAGGTGCCTGTTTCTCCCGGCGTCCTGATCTGTACTCAGCCTTCCCTTCACCTTGAAACATCGGCAAGTTCCTCCCAGCCTCTTCTTCCCCTCCCCGCCCCAAAACAGAAGGCTCTCTCATTGAGGTCATTCTCACATCTCCTCCTTACAACACAGTCCAATACAACATCAGCTCACCCCACCCACACTACGACTATTGAAATAGATCTCAGTGGGAGAGATGTACAATCAATATCTTACACCCAAATCCAGATAGCAATTTGGGCAGGAAGTCTGGGAGGGTCACATTTTACTGGACAACACTGATGGACCTGTTCACTTCTTTCTTGCAGGTCTATTCCTCAGCCTACCAGCACTTTTGAGTCTCCTTTCCCCTCTAGGACCTTCAGGAGCTCCTCTTACTCGAATCTTTGAGATCAAAGCTCCTTGACATTAGTCTCTACCCTACAATCCTAGCCAGCTCTTTTCCAGCACCAGAAACTACTAGTTGCCGTTCCACTGGATGGTTACTCATAGAATGCCTTTCCTTCGAGATCCCCTCCCACAAACAGTGTCGGATCCTCCCGTCTAAGCCCCCAGAAGCCTGAGTGCCCCCCTCTAGCCCTTTCACAGACGGTCTTTGCCTCCCATCCCGTCAGTCACTCCCACTGGGCTGGCTGGCTCAGTCCATCTATCTCCCGAGAAGGAAACGAGAAGTATCTTAAGAAAAAGTCCTCGAAAAGCCAGGAACGGAGAACCAAGAAGGGCGGCCGGCGTGGCCACGTACCGATGAGGACGGCGTTGTCCAGGTTTCGCAGCTGGGCCAAGAGTTGCCCCCGCGCCTGGAAGATGGGCAGACTCCGGCGCTGCAGCTCCAGGGCCTCGCGGTAGGGACTCGCCGAGGGCTGCCCCAGAGACGGAGGCGGCTGCCTCCGGCCTCCGCCGCCGCCGCCGCCGCCCGCCGTCAGCAGCATCGCCACTCGCCTCACGGGAGGGTGGGGCCCGCCGCGGCTCGAAGGCCCGGAGCCCGGTCTGAATCTCTTGGCGGGCGGGAAGCCCGCCTCCTCCGGCATGTCGGGAGGGCGCCGCGGCCGGAGGCGCGACTCGGCGTTCCGAACCGCCGTAGAAGGCCGGGGTCCCGCCCTCTCCGCGCCACGTGCTGGCGGCTACCGGCGACCACCGATGACCTCACGGCCGCACCTCGCCTTCAGGAAAGGGACTACAATTCCCAGCATGCATCTGGGGCGCGGTAAGGCTTTTCACTTCCCGGGGGAGGGGAAAGTAGGATCTTAGGTCCAATAGCAAAAAAGCCGGAGCAACAGCACTGAAAGACAAGGGTATAAGGTTCCGTAGGACCTTGGTCTTCTCTCCTGGGCAATTTTGTTCTAACAGTCTTTCTTTCCGATTAAAAAAAACAAAAAAGAAATATGCACCTCCCAACCCTGTCTGCAATAATCATGACTCTTCAAGGACAGCACTCAGTTCGGTAAAAACCAGTGAGGAACGGAAACATGTTCACGACTTTTGTCTTCTAAACAACGCACCTGGTTAATTAATATGGTAGCGATATAAATCCCAGTTTAAAAGTGAAAAAGGTAGGCTAAGATCAAAGTCATTCAGCGCGCGCGCTGTCCCTGGGCTTCTTTTTGCTTAAGGCTAGCACTACCACTTGAGCCACAGCATCACTTTAAGCTTTATCTGAATAGTTTATTAGAGAAAAATCTCACGGATTTATCCCTCAGGTTTCGGCCTCCTGAGTAGCTGGGATTACAACCATTAGCCACCAGCGCCTGGCAACAATGTTAATTTTGAAAAGGACTTGCCTTATTATAGAAGAGGGAAGAAGATTCTGGCTCTATGAGGATCAAGCATTTTCCTCACAAATAACCATCACAATGGACATGAAATAACAAGCAGAGAGTGGAATTAAAATTGTTTTAACCCTTCCTTTCAGGCATTCCTACCAGACTATCAAATTCATTCTTTCTTTTTTTTTTGTCAGTCATGGGGCCTGAACTCTGGGCCTGGGCGCTGTCCCTCAGCTCTTTAGCTCAAGGCTAGCGCTCTACCACTTGAGCCACAGTGCCACTTCTGGTATCCTAGCGGTTTATTGGAAATAAGAGTCTCAACAACTTTCCTGCTTGGGCTAGATTTGAACCGCAATCCTCAGAGCTCAGCATCCTGAGTAGCTAGGGTTACAGGCGTGAGCCACTGGCGCCTGGCTATCAAATTCTTTACACATTATCCATTACACACTTCAGCTAATGAAGATACAGAACTCCAGCAGAGAAAATGTTACTCTTCCCCCCTCTTCCCCCCCCCCAATTAAAAAATATTTCAGGGGCTGGGAAGGTGGCTCAGTGGTAGAGCGCTTGCCTTGCATGCCTGAGGCCCTGGGTTCGATTCCTCAGCACCACATAAGCAAAAAGAAAAA